CCTCCCCATCTTTTTCCACGATCAAATTTTATGCAAATCCATCGAAGAATATCGATAACAACGATAAAACCGTATTGGCCTCGATCGAAACTCTACGTTCCATCGCTCGAAATCTATCCGCGTTAATAATAAACGCGATGTTTAATGCATATTTTGCCATGCTAATTACACGTTTGACGCGCGCGACCGTTACGTGGACCCGTACAGGCGCGCGTACAATGCCAGTTTGCAGAGAAATAGGGTTGATAAACGGGTTGATCTCGACATCGGTCATGAAGATAATTTCAATCATTCAGCTAACACGGGATTATGCGGCGAGCCCATCGGCCACTGGTCAAACCTGACTGACTGACTGGCAGCCCGCTCCGCTTTCATATCGATACTTAGACACACAGCCTATCTATCTCTGTCTCTCTCTCTCTCTCTCTCTCTCTCGATAATTTCTGGCTAGCTTTGACGATTCGACGCCTATGTTGGGATAATAATGGCTTCTGAAATCAATAAGCGATGCATTTACGTTTTCATCGAGGGATTAAGACGGGATGTATCAGAACATTTGAGATAGGATCGAAAATCAATCGATAGGGATGATTTGGGGATGTGTGTGTGTGTATACGCGAGATTTTTAATAAAACGTAATGGCGAGAACGTGTGGCGATAAATCGAAGCGAAAACGATTTTGGGATATCGGCCAATTTGAAATGGACTGGACTCGCAAATGAAAATGGCGTAGGCATGTTTATTTTTAATACTAAGTCGGATACCGTGTACATTATATCGATATCATTTATTAATAGATCGTGAATATTCATTCCCAGTTGGAAAGTAATAATAAGAAAATTCTAATTCTGTTGGAAAAATTATTGGCATCTTGGCCACGTTTCACGCCATCCCTTTATCGAGTTTATCGCTTTTTGCCACCGTATTCCTTACGTACTTAATATGCATTAGAAATTTCACGATGAGTACGGATAATTCAAAACAGGGAAACCGTTGTTTGTTCTTCCTTTTAGAGATTCCACGGTACGTGGCCTCGATGTAATCTCATTTCCATGGGATTAAAGGTGTTACGAGAAGCATGACGAATCGAAAACCTTGATAACAATCTGTCTCAATTTGCACGGTATAATATATCGCGCTTCTCAATCATATCTCGCCATAAATTCGAATACAGCTCGTTCGTGTATATCGTATATAATCAATGAAACATGACGCTGCTTGATGCTGTTTAATAAATTAGAATATTTATATACGGATATAAATAGGTAAAACTAAACTGAATAACGTCCATTTAATTTCAAAATGTATAATAATACATGTTTTAATTTTGATTCAACAACAACGACATTTATCAATCTATCTTATTGCTTTTGCTTTTCTTCGATAATCTCCAGTGTATCGAGCATCATGAATCACGAGAAATTCATTACACCGTATTACACGACATTTATCCGTCATCCTCGATACACGATGCCACTATATCTTCTTCCTGTCAAAGTCATCATTCGATTACGTACACTCCAATTAGCCCGATATTCAGCGTTTCGTGGCAAACTCCATTCTTGTCTTCTTGAAATCGTTTCGTGTTTCAAGCGAATCCATATATTTTTTGATATATCATAAAACAATGGGCATTTCAAGTTAACCGTTTGCGCTCGAAGCCTTTTTCGCTCGATCGAATCTCAACAAGTCGAGACGAATTTTTAACTCAAAATAATTTTATAAATTAACGTATAAAACTTTTACATTTTAATATTTTACATATTTTTATGTTTAAAGGAAAAAAGATTTATTGAATGTATCGTTGTTTCGTGCGATATTTTATAAGATATGTCTCTGATTTGTCAGGTAATTTTATAGTATCACGGTAAAATATTCTTTCATCTTTCTTGATCCTTTTTAACTCCTGTTAACGTGCTTTCACATTCATCGTCTATTATTCTTATTTTTCTTATCTCTTTTTTCACTTATCTTTTCATTATTTCATCTCCATCTTCATTACTGCTCTCTTTATGAATTTCTTTATGAACGAACGAAAAACTCATCTTTATTCGAATTAATCATTATTACATTCTATGTGTTTACAAAAATTCAAAAACTTTGA